CTCAGATATCAAGGCCGAAACAATTTCGGATTGCTTCCTTCATTGCAAGATTCGCTCGGTTGCTTTATAAACCCTGACCATATTGCACAGCAGCTGGTCGACAATGAGGTCATCGGAGATCTTCAATTGCCAATCCGTCAGTTGCGGTACTAAAACCCAATGGACAGCAGAGTCCTTCCTAACTACCCTGGTGAGGAGGAGGTCGCCTTCACACCAGATGAAGATGAGATCATTGCTGCTAAAACTTTGATCTGGTCAAGTGAAGGAGCAGGAAGATGACACAAACGAGTTTCCTCGTGTCATGTCATCTTAGGCACTCGATGCCACGCAGACGCTTGAATACTTTTGGTTGCAGCAGCCAGACCTGAACTAGGAATTCCTTCTAAGCTTCCAGCAAATGAAGGACAAAATTGTGAAGATCAGGACTAATTAACTGATGCAACAGCTCATCTTAGAATTCTTTATAAACGCCCATTAACTGCTTTGCAATCAGTTTCAAAGTCCTCAATCTAGTGAGTAAAACTTTAAAAGGTTTTGGAAGACCAGCCTCTGACTATCAAGTATCAGTTTAGAGAGATAAATACATTATATACGGGTTTCAAGTCGGGACCAAAAAAAGAATATTATATTGGGCAGGCTATTACATTAGGCAGTAATTTTTAGACAGGATCTATGTAACGGGGCACATCCTTGCGTGAGCTTAACGCAAGGGTTTCGGTGCGCCCGACAGACGTACACGAGGCAAACGAGGAAGCGTAGGTAAGGTAAAAGCAGGACTGTTATATTAATATAATTAAGTCTTTTAACTACTGTCTCTCTGTTTGACTTAACTTAATTATACTAATATAAGTGAGTGTATGGTGACGTCTCGTCACCACTCATTGCGCGCGTCCTGCGGCGATTGGTGGGTTGATATCTTGACGATATCAACCAATGAGCAGACCCTTTGGTCGCTTCACCAATATCACCACTATCGGTGATATTGTTCAAAGAATATCCAACTTAATATTCTTTATTGTCATTGTATCTTTAATGACAATTTCCATGTAACGGGCTGCCCCGTTACGATAACCATGTATTAAATAAAAAAACATAGACTTACTTTCGATTGGACCCAGTATATCCATTATACGATTTCGCCTGTAAGTGATCGAGGAAACCTAAACCACGTCAATTATCGCCACTACCCATGATCGGTTGTCGAAAACGCTATCCACAGGGAGTTTGGACATCGAAGATATACCAATAGAATCAGAATTTTATGATTCTCATTGTGCTCAGATAGAAGCATTTTTTGACACTATAGAGGGCCACGTCGTACGTACCTGCGTGGCATTTCTATGAGCGTGAAGTAGGTACTTCAATAGCCGGAAAAACCACTTTTGTGAACATGCAGTACGTACTTCAATAGTCGGTTGTCTTGCCCGCGCCCGAGGTTGCTTTTCTACGTGATTGTTGAATTCTCGACGGTGCATGAGCTACAGTGCGAGGTCGCAATGTACGGCTCTATCTGGAAAGAGAGGGTCGCCATGAGCTAGAAGCGAGGTCGGGGGTATAGCCTGGTGTCCCATTGTTCTCAGGGTATCCATGGTATGCGTTCTCGACGGCTACTCGATAGCGGAGGCTACTTGCACTTCTACGAAATTCACCTTCGAAGGGGATCAGCTTCAAGTGAAAGACCTGCGGTGCTTAACTTGTACAGGTCCTGCACATTGATCGTTTGCCACCATTCATTTCAGCCACTCTTGCCGGCAGAGCGCATCACCCGTGACCCTCAGTCAGTTGGACGCGCTTAGCAACTACGCGAAGGATAGCCTCTCATCTGCCTTGGCTACGCACATGGACACATCACGCAAGAGAGAGAGACCAACGCAGTAGCCTGGAAGTAGATGTGCCCAACTTCGTCACGTGCTGCTGCTTATGCAGCACATGCGAACCCAGTGTGCTGCTAATGTACAAGGCATGTGAAACGCACTCGTGCCACTCGTGCTTCGAATGCACCGCGATTCGGTGTCCACACTTTGTTGCCCCCATTCACAAGACTAGAGGACGTTGTCGGGTGCATGCCCCATTGTCATAGTTGGAGCAGCGTTTCTGTTTTACTACATCGCCCTCAGCTAGAAGCATCTTTTGACCATATAGAGGGCCACGTCGTACGTACCTGCGTGGCATTTCTATGAGCGTGAAGTAGGTACTTCAATAGCCGGAAAAACCACTTTTGTGAACATGCAGTACGTACTTCAATAGTCGGTTGTCTTGCCCGCGCCCGAGGTTGCTTTTCTACGTGATTGTTGAATTCTCGACGGTGCATGAGCTACAGTGCGAGGTCGCAATGTACGGCTCTATCTGGAAAGAGAGGGTCGCCATGAGCTAGAAGCGAGGTCGGGGGTATAGCCTGGTGTCCCATTGTTCTCAGGGTATCCATGGTATGCGTTCTCGACGGCTACTCGATAGCGGAGGCTACTTGCACTTCTACGAAATTCACCTTCGAAGGGGATCAGCTTCAAGTGAAAGACCTGCGGTGCTTAACTTGTACAGGTCCTGCACATTGATCGTTTGCCACCATTCATTTCAGCCACTCTTGCCGGCAGAGCGCATCACCCGTGACCCTCAGTCAGTTGGACGCGCTTAGCAACTACGCGAAGGATAGCCTCTCATCTGCCTTGGCTACGCACATGGACACATCACGCAAGAGAGAGAGACCAACGCAGTAGCCTGGAAGTAGATGTGCCCAACTTCGTCACGTGCTGCTGCTTATGCAGCACATGCGAACCCAGTGTGCTGCTAATGTACAAGGCATGTGAAACGCACTCGTGCCACTCGTGCTTCGAATGCACCGCGATTCGGTGTCCACACTTTGTTGCCCCCATTCACAAGACTAGAGGACGTTGTCGGGTGCATGCCCCATTGTCATAGTTGGAGCAGCGTTTCTGTTTTACTACATCGCCCTCAGCTAGAAGCATCTTTTGACCATATAGAGGGCCACGTCGTACGTACCTGCGTGGCATTTCTATGAGCGTGAAGTAGGTACTTCAATAGCCGGAAAAACCACTTTTGTGAACATGCAGTACGTACTTCAATAGTCGGTTGTCTTGCCCGCGCCCGAGGTTGCTTTTCTACGTGATTGTTGAATTCTCGACGGTGCATGAGCTACAGTGCGAGGTCGCAATGTACGGCTCTATCTGGAAAGAGAGGGTCGCCATGAGCTAGAAGCGAGGTCGGGGGTATAGCCTGGTGTCCCATTGTTCTCAGGGTATCCATGGTATGCGTTCTCGACGGCTACTCGATAGCGGAGGCTACTTGCACTTCTACGAAATTCACCTTCGAAGGGGATCAGCTTCAAGTGAAAGACCTGCGGTGCTTAACTTGTACAGGTCCTGCACATTGATCGTTTGCCACCATTCATTTCAGCCACTCTTGCCGGCAGAGCGCATCACCCGTGACCCTCAGTCAGTTGGACGCGCTTAGCAACTACGCGAAGGATAGCCTCTCATCTGCCTTGGCTACGCACATGGACACATCACGCAAGAGAGAGAGACCAACGCAGTAGCCTGGAAGTAGATGTGCCCAACTTCGTCACGTGCTGCTGCTTATGCAGCACATGCGAACCCAGTGTGCTGCTAATGTACAAGGCATGTGAAACGCACTCGTGCCACTCGTGCTTCGAATGCACCGCGATTCGGTGTCCACACTTTGTTGCCCCCATTCACAAGACTAGAGGACGTTGTCGGGTGCATGCCCCATTGTCATAGTTGGAGCAGCGTTTCTGTTTTACTACATCGCCCTCAGCTAGAAGCATCTTTTGACCATATAGAGGGCCACGTCGTACGTACCTGCGTGGCATTTCTATGAGCGTGAAGTAGGTACTTCAATAGCCGGAAAAACCACTTTTGTGAACATGCAGTACGTACTTCAATAGTCGGTTGTCTTGCCCGCGCCCGAGGTTGCTTTTCTACGTGATTGTTGAATTCTCGACGGTGCATGAGCTACAGTGCGAGGTCGCAATGTACGGCTCTATCTGGAAAGAGAGGGTCGCCATGAGCTAGAAGCGAGGTCGGGGGTATAGCCTGGTGTCCCATTGTTCTCAGGGTATCCATGGTATGCGTTCTCGACGGCTACTCGATAGCGGAGGCTACTTGCACTTCTACGAAATTCACCTTCGAAGGGGATCAGCTTCAAGTGAAAGACCTGCGGTGATTAACTTGTACAGGTCCTGCACATTGATCGTTTGCCACCATTCATTTCAGCCGCTCTTGCCGGCAGAGCGCATCACCCGTGACCCTCAGTCAGTTGGACGCGCTTAGCAACTACGCGAAGGATAGCCTCTCATCTGCCTTGGCTACGCACATGGACACATCACGCAAGAGAGAGAGACCAACGCAGTAGCCTGGAAGTAGATGTGCCCAACTTCGTCACGTTCTGCTGCTTATGCAGCACATGCGAACCCAGTGTGCTGCTAATGTACAAGGCATGTGAAACGCACTCGTGCCACTCGTGCTTCGAATGCACCGCGATTCGGTGTCCACACTTTGTTGCCCCCATTCACAAGACTAGAGGACGTTGTCGGGTGCATGCCCCATTGTCATAGTTGGAGCAGCGTTTCTGTTTTACTACATCGCCCTCAGCTAGGAGCATTTTTTGACCATATAGAGGGCCACGTCGTACGTACCTGCGTGGCATTTCTATGAGCGTGAAGTAGGTACTTCAATAGCCAGAAAAGCCACTTTTGTGAACATGCAGTACGTACTTCAATAGCCAGGAGTGGCGATACTAAGGACGTGCAGAAGGTACTTCAATATACTAGTCCGGAACAACTTGTGATCCAGGTAGTATTTACGATTTTTTGCAAAGTTTTTGTCGGGTGCTACGACGTATTAGCGTTTCATTTCCAAATTTGCTCGGATCGCTCCACATCCTGTCCTACACGACCTCGCTATCTTAATCGATCAGTAAAGGTCTTCATGACGAATGGCTTTTTGCTCCTTTTGCTCACTCATATCATGGTCGCTGGCAGCGACGCCTTGCTGGACCACACGACCGGCATACGAGCCAACTTTACGTCCGCGAATGAAGGCGAACCAGTTCGACTGAACTCGGCCGGCAAAGGGGCACTTCAATCGAACGACGGTGCGAACAATGCTGTCACTGAAGAGAGGATGATGAGCGTTGGTCGGATGTCAGCGGAAGGCCTCGGACATACGGTTCCCGGGATCGAAGAGTTCATGGCAGAGCTAGTGAAGGTGGATGACTTGCAAAAGAAAATGTCGAGTACTGCCTCAACGGTTGAGGAAAACTGGGTGAAGTATGCGGCTACTCGGAAAGACCCGAAACTTGTCAGGACCGCGGAGCACTGGAAAGAAGTCCTCGACGAAGCCTTCAAGATGGAGACAGTTGCTTGGGCGACGCATGAAAAGGATTTGGAGAAGGTGAAGGCCGCCGTTCGCGAATTAGAGAAGGGAGGCACGAATCGTGAGACAGAGATCAGGAAGGAAACCAAAGCGCGAAAGGTCAAGAGGCAGAAGAGCCCCAATGATCTAGAGGCGGTTGCATGGAGAGAGAAGAATGCGAACTGGGAGGCAGAGTCCCATATGAGGAAGGATTTCATCACACTTCTGCAAAAGCAGATTGAAGTCCTTGAAAAGACACAGGCTAGGTCGACGAACTATCTCATCAACCTTTTGAAGACCAAGACGCATCAAGTGATTCAGAAGTACCTTGCCGAGTTTGTTAATCTGAAACGAGAAGGTGTGACGGTGGAGGCATACCAAAAAGAACTGCAGCTGGACCCATCGATAGTGAAGGAGATGGAATCTTGGGCAGAAGGTGTCACTGGCGCTGATTTGTTCCGTTATGGGCCGGCCTATACGAAGTTTTTCTACTACAAAGTGTTTGTCATGGGGCCGCCGGGTGCAATTTATAAATTGCCTATGCATCCGTTTCCCAAGTCGACGAGTGCGTCCAAGTTGCGTGAAAGCATCCTGTAGTTGAGGACGACACATACCGTAGCGTAATGAAAGGTAGATAAACGTCAACATGATATCCACCCTAACATGTTCAATTCGTTACCATGACAATAGAGCTAGTAATGAATTCTTCCGACCGTCTGTCAGCAAGAGTTGGATCGAAGTTCGATCATTGTCGCTTACAACTAGTATTTTTCCTATGCCTGATTATCACAGGGTGAGCCTGTTACATGTCATTAATATAGCAATTTGTTTCGTGGTAAATTATCTTAGTTGCTAAAAGTATACCAATATAGCTTGTCTAACGAAAATTAAAACGGAATTTCACCTTCTAGCGTAACAATCGAGGCTGCTTCACTTAATAATTGTTAAATGATATTATATTGACCAAAGTTAAACACTTTTGCTGCTAGACGTGCGCAATGGCTCGAAACCTGCATCAAAGAATTTGCGTGAATATAATTACAAACAGATAAAGAAAGTAAAATGAGAAATATAACTACACATATCAGTTCTACATATCCCACTAATCAATGCACCCTTAGTTTTGTATTCTACCTTGTGTTTTCGAAACGGTCACGTGTACGTGAAGTCCATAGGTACGCACTGTTGTGTTGAAAATAAGCGGTTTCCAGTTATTGGGAGGAATTAGCCCCATACCACCAATGCTCTCGATAAGATACCAAAAAACTTCCTACCGACGATTATGTGAGGCAGAGGTCGCAAACAAGCTTGCTGCACGATATATGAAATAAACATTAAAAGAAACGGTATAGTAACGTTGTTAAAGGAGTGGTTTTTGCTATACAAAGCGTAACTCTATAATTTCATATTGATATACATGTCAATCTAGTTCTTTCGTGTCGATGATATTCAATCAAATTTAAATGTAGCGGCCTTTATTGATCAAATATTGCCTTTATCAGTAGTAGCCTTATTAGAATAGAGTATTTAGATCTCTGGATGATGCAGGCTAGGACGTCACCAAACGAAGCACTAGAATATTGTTCTGCGTACGCAATGAACAAAGAGCAAGATTTTACTTTGTTTAAATGTAATATTTAACCAGTGAGATATTCACAAAACGTATATATTGACTGATGTATAGCAAATAAAACTCTCTTTTTCTGTACAACAAGTAATCTTCTTTTCATCTTGGCAGCGCCGCCTCTGTGTGTTGGGGATATTTATGTGTTCTTGTTTAGCGTATATCTCAACTGATATATACGGAGCCACCTGAGTTTGTCGTAGGTGCGTATGTGAAGTACTACATTATCAAGCGAAGTATTCATGAAATACTCTGGAAACAAAAGATAGCTATCACGTAAATGACGTGTGTATTGATTTATCTAACATGTTGGAAAGCAACTTGTTATTGTAACCTTCATAGTATTAATAATTCAGAAAGGAACAATCCTTCATCAAGCGAGCGCTGATTTATATGCCAATCGTCGAAAACATATGCACCCGCCATTAACTGAGAAATAATGTTTGTCTACTCAAATATGACAGATAATTACAACGTTCAAAGTTAGCGTCGCCACAATATGTACCCACTGACGGAGAGAGTATACCATATTGCTTGGCAATGTAAGTGTAGTCGTACAACGGTAACATAGCTAGCGATTTCATTTAGCTAATCACTTCCATTGGCGCATTTATTGTACTTGATACGATCACACCAGCCTGGAATTAAAGATTCTTGTAGTGCGGCATACTAATGAATTTGTATTCATTGTATGCAATATAATAGTGATCGATTAGAATACTGGAGTGTCGTACAAAAAGATAGTTGGAGATAGGCAATAAACTTGGTATAACAGGTTCGAATCGAATATTTGGATAATGAATTGGATTCGATATGAATCAATCTTTTTTGTACCTATATACATATATATATATATATACCTGCTCCTATATATATATACAAACAAACATATGGCATGTGATGAGGTGGTCTTAATAGGTTATCTCGGCCAAAGAAACAAATAGCACTTAAGCATGCTCTGCGAATAAAAATGACCAAAATTACTTAATCTTAGTCATATCTTTGCATGGTAAAAGAGTTCCTTTTAGTAGTATGTGTCGGCCATTAGAGACAAATAGCAAATTATGCTGCTTCACCAGACCCTACTGTTCATGATTGTATAATATGCAAAAAGTCCGGGACTGATTGATGGGACAAACACATACGTTAATTTTATAGAATATTTTATATCTTTTGTTTTACTTAGAGTTGTTATTAAAAAACACTGCTTTTCTGGCCATTATTATACGTGACGTAGCTGAATTTACCCTAAAGGCTTAGGTGAGGGCCAGCTACGTCCTTTTTTAGTACGTAGCAATTATTGCCCGTCAATCGATACATTAAAACGAAAGAACTATGACAAGATGTAATCAAAGAAGACGTACGATTGATCGATCTACGATACTGCATACGAGGAAATACAAATTCATAACTGCGCGCGCAAGTATTTTTTATAAACACATGATGGGTTAGGATATATGTATTATTTTAATTTTCACATAGGGCCGGCAGGATAAACAAAAATCGCAATAATCAGGAAATAAGGTCATCTCTATCAGCTGTGTGTACGCGCGTCCTTTTTTAATAAAGGCGTAACATAAGAAGGCTTATAGCTGAAACTTAGGTTGATTGGATATTAAACGTGTAAATTTGAGTAATCTTACATATGGTCAATCTTTGCTCATATATGTATTTGCTGTCTGCTGTAGATACACTCTACTTAATTCTTGGACATATATTAGGTGCAACATAGCTCTTATTTTAATTCAAGTTCTGTACAAGGTTGACGCCTTATCTCCACCGCTGTAGACATATTTATTTGCAGCATTTTTATGTGATGTGTGATGCGAGAAATAAGGTTTTGATACAAAAGCAATTTCTTTTGTTTAACGTCTAAATTGATGAGAAAAAAGATTTTGACAGTATTAGTAGTTCGGTCGATAAGTCATGTGCGTATTGATAAGCGTTTCATATTTTTCTATGTATGCCATGAGTAACACTACACCGTCAAACGAAGACGTGTTTAATACATATTATAAGTCTTTCGGTGATCAAATTTCATCAGCACTGTCTTTACAGGTATTATTGTCCTCTTTTTATTTATTTATACAAAATTTGATAAGATAAGTGCTATTTTATAACTAAAGTTAAATAAAAAGGAACAGGGGCCCAACTGCGAATGTACGAATAGGGATTGGAAAAGAATCGGAAAGCAGCAAAGGTAGCAACACAATGATAAATTCTAAATATAGCAAAATTGACTTTTTTCCTGCTTCCTTAGCAGTGGCATCTCTACTTAAATGCTACACTAATATTATATAAGTTTTATTTGGTGAATTATCGTACATGCAAAATGCAAATTGGTTTTGTACAATCAGTTATGCATTTAAAATTAAATATTTGATATAGATGACGATCAGCCATCGATTTTACTTGACCTTTTCCTAGCTAGTGCCTCTTCCTACCGTTGTTATTCACGTCATTTTCGACAACAGTAGTATACTGTGCTGTGGGTTATTAAAACACAGGTGTTGGCGGGGTACGGAGCTTTATCCGTTGGCAGAATAGTAAGATAGGTATTTACTACCACCAGATTGCGATACCCGATTGCAGTTAGCTCACCCGCACCGGGTCTCTACCACACTCACCTGTATAGTGTATAGCGTTCCGTACAACAAAATGATCCGATGTTTTGGTCAATTCATAATTATTAACAACATAAGTGATACCTTCACAATATATTATACTCAAACAATGCAATATACATCTTACAAAAGTCGCCGCAACATCACTCCATATATATAAACGCCAAATTTAGTTTAGCTTTAGTTGTGACGGTCACCTTGTACGGGCACATCACAAGCAACGGAGTAGTAATACGTAGGTACTTTTCCTGAATCTAAAGAATTGTTTAATTGTAAAAAAAGAAGGAATCCTTCCAAAAGAGGACCCTTTGAAGTAGGGTAAATAGATGGAAGATAGATGTATAATAATGGTTCGGCGAATGGCGATTTGCTCGATCTTATATTTGTAAAATAGGAATTAAGTTCTTGCTTGTGCCTCACCTACTAATCCCTGCTCGACTTAATTGAACCTTTACTTGGTTGACAATGTGTCTAAATACCTTTACAAAGTGAATAGCTGTACCAAAAAAAATATAGTTATAATTTTCCATTTTTGACAAAGCAAGAATGTCATTATGTGGGTTCTTCACTAATGTCCTTATCTCCGCTAATCGACAAATATATATTTATAATGCGATAATTTCACTCATAGAGCATTATTACTTTTATAAACTATTCATGTATTGGGTGCCAAAGCAAAAGTGTTTTTTTATTAAATCTGTAATATAAGATTCTATTTCAAGGACTGTGATGACACTTTAGCATCTGATCAACTCTGTCGTTTATGAGGAATGTCTCACTCGGTGGGTGCGGAGCCGAACTCGGTCTTAGCTATATTTGTTGTTAACATTCATGGAAAAAGATATTTTGAGTGGATCCCGCGCCACGCAAATTTGCAAGTACAATAAAACGAACCTTGGTTTTTTTACAATATTTTTACTGCTCACAGTTACTTAAAGGTAGGAGTGTCCGCAATTTAGAATCAAGAAATAAATATTACATGTGGATGAGAGGTCATGGGCTAAGCATGAATTGCTACAAAACCCATAATCAATCGGAAACAGCATACTTTTGACTTTCAATAAATATCGTAAAAGCACATCTTAAACTGTCATATATCATTAGATACGGCTTATATTTTCCAGATTTATGAAGCTCAAAGAAGCAAAAATGTCATGGCGGCGTTTATATGCGAGGGGAGGATACAAATCCGATATCAATAACTTTATAGCTAGTATCATGAATATACAATTTGCTGTAAATTCGTATACAAACGTTTTCAGGTAAGGATAGAGGTAGTAAGAAAGTTGAAAACTCAGTTGCCCTGTTGTAAAAATTATAAATGCATTATTTTCGAATCGAAGAGCGTG